ACATAACCATCTCTAACAGCAAAACAAGTCATTTCACAACTGCTTCATTTCGGGCACCACCTTTCCCTCCAATTATACATAAGCAGCAAAAGAGCTGTCAACTCCTAAACTAATTCAAATGTCTTATTTAATTAGGGTTTGGTTTACAGCATAACTAGTTTCCAAAGTTAATCTTGAACGGGCAAATAACTGACAATAAATAAAAATTAAAATTAAAAGGAATTAGAAGATTGCAGGTAAGGTTTGCAGGAGTAATAGGAACTGTGTCAGTAACTAATGAGACAATAATTTTGTCATCGCTCCTACCTTAAGCCACAAAAGGCAAGGTCAGTGCCTGTGAGTAGCCTAATCCACTGGAGCTACAGTTTGGGAGGAAAGCAAACAAGTCATATAAACATGTTAGTTTGCTTAATTGCTCAGTCAATGCTCAATCTTTAAGTCATATGGAAGACAGACAATTTAGATGTAAAATGTACTGTATTGTTTATTTACAAAAGGAGTACATTTTGACCACAGGTTCTCTCTAAAAAAATATCATACGAAGCTTGGTTCTCCAAAGATTATGTTATTTGTAAAAGCAGCCATCTAAACTCAAGTACAGCACCAGCAATGGGAAGAAGTATTGCTCTTAGCCATATTAAGTTAAATTGACAGAGTTTAAGAAATTCCAAATCCCACCCAGAGATCTGAAACCATGTGTTTTTCTTGCCCAGAAATGTTGGTTGGTTGAATAGCTGAAAAATGAAGTTTTCTGCTTAGCAAAGAATAGAAGTTCTGTGCAGGAAAAATGCTGGATCCTTGTACCTGTGAATGTAGTATGGTCTAAACAATAAAATCATGGATTAATTTTTTTAAGAAAAGTATTTGAAGTATTACTGGAGTCTCAAAGATTTGATAACATGTGCTTTAAGTGATTTTTAAAATTATGTTAATCCTTGCAAACTTTTTATATTCAACCACACTTTAAAATCATTGATATTTAGCGATGAAAGTTCACAAGCAAGAAAAATGCCACAAATTTGACTGTGAAATTCTGTTCAGTTTTTTCTGAGATAGAGGGTTGCATACCTTCTTTCCTTTGCAGTCCCCCAAAAAACTTGGCAGGATAAGAACTCCATAGCTGAACACCAATGAGTAACAGGAGTGAGCTCTGTCACCGAGCAGTGGCACAGGCCCACTGCCCATCGCAGCAAGTCAGGATCTCCCTGTGCTTGGGATGTGGGTGAAGACAGGAGATGACTGGATGGAAGACACGCTAGGCTCCTTCTCAACCACCTCCTGGCCTCCAGTTTTCCCCCAGCGATCCTCCCCTCCTACAACAGTCTTCTTCACCACAGATGCCATTTTTACACAGCTTAACTGTGCTACAGTGCTGAAGGTTCAAACCGTGCCTCATAGGAAGGACACAACAGTTAATTTTCTGCAACTTCCAGCAAAAACTGTAGGAAATAAAATATACATTAAAAGAATAATGGCTTAAAAATACGCACTAAAAATATAGGAAATGCCCAACTCAAGATCACACAGGAAAGACTAGTTTGATGTGTGTACATGCATCATGCTACTACAATTGCACACTCACATTTTCTCTAGAGAAGCCTAATCTTATTCGGTAATTAGGACAAATGTATGAAGAGACAGAATGATAACCACTCATGCAATAGAAACCTGGAATTTCCCAGTGTTTTAATTCAATAAATTTGTAGTCTGAATACCATGAATGGGTTTCCCTGTATAAAAAAGATTTTAAATACTAACTCCAGAAAAAAATGACTGAAGTACAATATATTACTGCGTTGCTATGGGTTTCTATCTATTAACACTATAAACTTGCTTTTAAAAAAGACATAAATTAAAACTAAACAGGAAATACGAAAGCCACTTTTTTCCAACTAAAATGCATATATACGTGTTATAAATCAGCCTGTATATTAATAAAAATGTCAAAGTTTACATTTTTCTGCTTCTTTAAAAAAGTCTTAATGACTACAGAATCACATCTGGCAGAACTAATGTCCTTTCAAATGGTTACTCACAACCTTTCTGCATGCTGCACACTTTCATATAACCATGCCATTCAGAAATGGGACAATTTTTTTAACACCAAAGCTGAGCTTTTTTTCATGTTGCACCATTTTGCACCAACATCCTAGGAACACCTATCAATGCATATCAATAAACTGTTAAAACATGTATGAAAGAGTATATGCAAAAAATAAGCAAAGAATGTTTAACACCAGGTACTTGTCCTTGTTGTGAGACACCTGTCATTTTCTGCTTGGATCCAGAAACCACGTACATGTGCACTGACACAACAAGAATTTTATCTTCAAAAATCTTAACAACTAATTCCGACACAATAAAAGCAAAAGCAGAGAAAAGAAATATATGGATGCACATGGTTTTGTACATGTACAAGGAGTACTGAAATACACCTTTATTTACAAGTGACAATAACCTAAGAGATTTACCTTTTACACATGTAATGTACCAGCCAAGTACAATGGGACAGATAAACCCAGTTGCTGGCATTAGGCAATTTTTATGCATCCTCATTTACTAAGCACAAAGAATTAACAACTGAATTTTCAAAAAAGAAAAATGTTGACTAAGATGAAGAAAAATGATACTTACCCACTAGCCCATCACCCTTATTTCAAGATGCATTCATTGTACATACAAACCAAATAAGTTCTGGCAAACCTTGTTTTGTGTAACAGAGTCTGTTCAACACACATGAAAAATCTACCACACCCATTGCACATTTAGTGACAGAATGATGTAGTCTTGGCAATCTAAGAAACTCCTGAAATGAAGCATCCAACATGTCATCTAATTCACAATCATATCATAAAACACAAGCAAAGATGGCTTTATGTTCACGAGGCATTTGCGGGAGCAGACTCAGTTTAGAATGAAAGCACTTTCTACTCGACTTAAAAGGACCACACAATGGAACACTGAAAATCAAGCTCTCTTTCTCTTATTGTCAATAATAAAGAACCAGTTGATCAATGTCCCCAGACAAGTCTAAGGATTATCTGGGTTATGCAAGTGATTAGCCAAGGTTAAAATAATCGGGTACTGAAATTATGAGCAAGGACAACATTTGTCCTTCCCTCATTACTGGAATTGTTGAACAGTGGGGACAGTAAGGAAAAGCTTGCATCTACTTGTGCTTTTGCTGGGGTAAGAGACAATGTTACAGCAGTTTTGTAAAGCTTTGTTCATATTAGGATCACTGCCTCTATAAAACTGCCTCTACTGCTACTCAGGCAAGACACCACTAGCTTGCATCTGAACGCAGTGCCTCAGCTGAACTTTAAACACCAGAGCTATCAAAAAAGTTCTCACTTTCCATGTGCCTGAAACACCTAACATGCCATTTTTGTCATTTCCTTTTAGAACAGACAGTGTGTAATGCAAGCTGCAAAAACAAGTACCTTGTTACACACTCCAGCAATACACCCTCAATGTCTTTGCAAACTAGTTCAACAAGTAAACTATTTTTCAAATTCCTTGAAGTTATCTGCAGGCCTCGGTGACTCATGAAGTAGCATCAGAATTCCTGAGGAACCCTGTGGGAACTTATCCCAGAGTTCTGCATTGTTCATGTTTTTAACACTACTTTTTTGTTAATATTTTAATACAAATTCTATCTCACAGAGTGAACACTATGCACTATCAATCCATCTTTGCTTAGCTTACTGTAGGAGTGTTTCTAAGGTTTGTGTCACAAAACAAAATTTGTAATCACAATTCATGATACAGCTGAAAATGGCAATTTTAGAAGACCTAAAAGAAACAGTTTTTTACAAAGTTGGAGATATTGACAACTTTGAATGAATTCATCATATCCAACCCAAAACCTAAGCAGTCTGGATTACAAATATTTTAATCAGTCAGGCACATCATTGATATTTAGTGATGCTGTATTAATATTTTTGTGCTTAGAGCTGAGTAGCTGTTTTCCTCATCAGATATCTCTGCTCCTCCTTAACACATCCATGTCTGCATCTTTGCCTTGCTCTCACCTCAGAAGTCAACTTTGCAGAGTAAAGTTAAGCAATAGTAGACTAGCAAGACTGGTTTTTTTTTCCACAACTATTTGACTGTTAAAAGAAAAAACATGATTGTCTGTGAAGAAAATGGGGGAAAACATCATCTGTGTTTACCAATATTTTGGAATTAATGCAACAAATTTATTTAAATCTACTCTTTGCATCACATAAATACCAACTATAGTGTTTATTGCAGCTCTTTATTGCAAGTGTGCTCAATTAAGACTGCTGCATTTCAGCTACTCAGGCAATTTTTAATCCTGATTTTAAACCAGTACCCTCCTGTCACTTATGGATGGCCTTCTAGTATTTTTACAGATCAGGGGAAGATAGGTTTGTAAATCCATGCACACACACTCACACAGAGTAGCTTAGTAACTTGCAAGGCCTTTCCACCTTGTAAGGGGAGCAAAAAAGCTGTATTTCCTTATGACATTACCATTCAAGTAACAATAATGGGGTTGTCAAGGTACCACTGGTGACAAGGCAAATCTAAAATGAGCTTGCAGAATCAAATGAGCTGGCTGCAGAGTCGAGATTCCCAGTTACTGAAGCCCAAGCATGCACAGCCCAGCAGAGAGCCACTGATCAGAACCACTGGTATTACCAGCCCAGGCACCATGCTTGGGAACTTCTAAGGTATATTAATATACACACACAGAAAAAAAGTTTCTCATGAGCAAAGAAATATGCTAAGTTCTGTTACAGTTACAAAAGAATTCCAGATATTCCATTGTCTTTAAGTGCTTGCATTTCTTTCACATATTCACAGACACAAGAATGATCAGTGGTTCACACTTGTAAAGGACCATGCCCCTTCTTCCTGCCTCTTAATTGGGGAAACTAAGAGAAGCTTAATAAAAGATCTTGGGAACCCACCTGCAGTTCTTCACCATACCAGGAATGTAAAGGGTGGAAAAAAAGGAACACAAGTAAAATTATATTCTTTATTCATTCATTCCATTTTAACTGTGAATGTTCCTATTATACAAATACAGTATAAATTCCAAAATCACAATATATTACAAAATAAAAAAAGTACAAACTGCATTACTTAATAAATATATCTAACAAGTTAATCAGAAAGTAGAAGAGACAGAATTTAGCTTGGAAACATTTAAATGTTTGACCCAGCAAACCATACAAACCTCAATTTAAATACTTTTTTTTTCCTTTTAAACCATAATGTAGAACACCATTCCCGACTTCTTGATTAGAAAATAATGTCAAGTGAATAAAATGTTGTGATCAGATATCAATTTGTCAGTGCAACACCAGTGCCAAAAGAAAGAAGCGGGGCTTTTACAAAAGACATCATAACCCCAGAAACAAGAACACAAACACCAAGGTGCAGCCAAGGCAATTATTGCCAAAGCAGGAGACTATTATCTAGTCACAACATTCTATTGCAAGTTAATGTTCTGTTATTACAGATAAATAATATAAATGGAGCAGAGGGTGAGCCAACCATGCAACAAGAGGCCAGTTTACTCAAAACAGTAATTAAATACAGAAGAGTCAATTGCTCCCTGTAGTCTTCACATGTAGCTGCATTCCAACTGGCTCAAAGGACCTGTTCTGTGCTCCAGGCAGAGAAAGCAACTGTTTTGAAAAGCAGTCTGTTCATACTTTGCTGCACTTCTACAAAAAAACCCCATTGTTTTAGTTTTGCAAAAAGGTACCCAGGATGCTTTCATCAATTACGGAGGATCTGTCTGACATCAACTTCATTTGGTAAAAATATAAGGTTTATGGGTAAAAAAAACACAGCAAAAAATAGCTGTCACACCATAAGCCTTACTTACAAAAACTGATTACAAACGTTTTTGGCTGTACAGCTGAAAGCCAGATATCAATGCAAGATGCAGAAGATGGAGGTAACAGTTTAAAAATATTGTGCAAAAAATACATTCTTATAGAAAATAGAGAGACAGTGAGCAGGGGAAGACACATACACGGAGAATCTGCTTGCAAATAATCCGAGGCTAAATTTTTACAACAGATTATTACAAACACGATTGTACTTATCCCCACCAGTCTACAGTTCCTTCTCAGTCTGGGGTGCTGCTGCTTCATTAAGGATTAAGGCATCACCATCACAGCCAGCACACCTTCTGTCTGTCTCTGTCCCTGCAGCAAAGCTCCCAGCCTGCAGCCCAGGTGGCCTCAAGAGCATGCATTCTGCTCAATGTACATCTTGGACAAGGACACTGCCATGGACTTGGCCAGCTCCTCATCCCGTCTGCGCTGTACCTGAGTCTGTCTGCACCACGCCTCGTACTCGGGGTTGGGGCACACGCGGTCCAGCACAGCATCGTAGTGACCGTTGCTGAGCCAGCTCAGCCAGATACTGGGCCGTGTCGGGTCCTCGGGCCCCAGGTAGTGAACCATGGTGGAAACGGTGGGGCTCTCAGGCCGGCCGCCCGTGGTGAGGTGGATGTTCACGTTCAGCATCTGCCCCATGGCCAACAGCTCCGGGTAGCCAGCCCAGGCCCCGTCCTGGGCAGCGCCGATGAGGAACTCTCCCACGTCGCCCTCGATGATGGGGTTGAAGTGGTCCAGGTGGTCGGCGATGTAGTGCACGGTCTGCTCGCGGAGCTCGCTGTGCAGCCGCTGGTCCCCGTACACCGCCTTGCAGATGGCGCGG